GGAGTAATGCATTAAGTAAGATGACATGATGTAGAGGAATTAACTCAAGCAATATGATGAAAACCCCATCCTTTTGTCCTCGATGGCAACAATACAATACGTTCCTTGCTGCCACTACTGTCATTGGGAAAGGACACCGCAAGATTGAACCCAAAGCTAAGCACTTCTCTCATTGCAAGAAGAACCAATCTAGTTGGCCAAACCAAACCGATAATTCGAAGAGACTTGCAAAGATATCAAATCATGCGTATAAGAATTCAAAGAAGATTCAAATAATATTCATAGATAATCTGATCATAAATCCATAATTCATCGGATCTCGGCAAACACATCGCAAAAAAGTATTACATCGAATAGATCTCCAAGAACATTGAGGAGAACATGGTATTGAGAATCAAAGAGAGAGAATAAGCCATCTAGCTACTAGCTATAGACCCGTAGGTCTGTGGTAAACTACTCACGCTTCATCGGGAAGGGCAATGGTGTTGATGTAGAAGCCCTCCGTGATCAAATCCCCCCCTCCGGCAGGACGCCGAAAAAGGCCCGTAGATGGGATCTCACGGGTACAGAAGGTTGCGGCGGCGGAAAAGTGTTTTTGTCGATGCCCCTGTTGATTTGGGGATATATGGGTATATATAGGTGAAAGAATTAGGTCAGGAGGTGCACGAGGGGCCCACAAGGTGGGGGCCGTGCCCTACCCCCCTGGACGCACCTCCGTCCTTGTGGGTGCCTCGTGGCTCCTCCGACTTCATCTCCAAGTCTCCTGGTTGTCTTCTGGTCCAAGAAAAATCATCGCGAAAGTTTTATTCTGTTTGGACTTCGTTTGGTATTCCTTTTCTGCGAAACTCAAAAACAAGGAAAAAACAGGAACTGGCACTGGGCTCTAGGTTAAATAGGTTAGTCCCAAAAATAATATAAAATAACATATTAATGCATATAAAACATCCAAAACAGATAATATAATAGCATGGAACAATAAAAAATTATAGATACGTTGGGGACGTATCATATACTCTCAGAACTTTTATTACTACTCAAACTGAGCAAAACAATAACATGATACAACAACCACTAGCTAGCATGGACAAATATTATTATGTTTCTCTCATACTAGAAACAATGAAACCCGCATCTTTAGTAGCCTCGGCAAAAACCTTATGAAAAAATAGCGAGAAAGAAAGAGGAAAACTATGTGCAAAACCTTAATTAGTTAACCCTTTGCACCAGGGGCAAAATCTTAGCAAACATTTTGCAACGAGGGCAAATCTAAACACTGGGATCAATGGGTTCATCCACATAAGAGTCAAATAAAAATAAGTTTTGACTCACCCAGGGTTTTGCAAGATACAAGGGTTTTAACTGAGTAGAATGCTTGTGCATCAACCGCTCGTATGCAACAAACATGATCTATGTAACATCATACTTTGAACCATGTCTCCACACTTTGCTAACTACAACATAACTGAGAATGCAATTATGCTTATCGTTGAAAACTGAGAACTGAATTTTAAGGGCAGCATACCTCACGGGCAAACCCTATAACCAATAAACTTTAACATGTTTAAGTTTTTGTGGCGGTGAATATCTACTTAATACCCCGTGAAAAGAATTTGCTTAAGGGCTCGTTTGGTAGAAGTGGGCCAGGGGGGTCAGCGGATTTTCCTCGCGTGGCCCAGAACCCTCGCAAATCCCCGCTAGCCCATTTGGTACGCAGGGTTTTCACGGCCCAATCCCTCCGAACCCCTCCTTTCCTTGCAACTCTCAACCCTCAAGGGGGGGACTCGGGGATTTGGAGGAGACAACGCTGCCGCCACCCGACTCCTCCTCAACACGCCACCAACCAATGCCTCGACACCGGCATACCTCCTCTGCCATACTGGCCTTCTCCCTGGTGGCAGGCCCTCGCCTCGCCTCCCCTCCTTTCCCCTTGTCGTCTAGGTTTCTTCCATTTGCCCGACCATTGTTGCTGCCTCGTCCTCCCCGGCGAGCCCGCCAAGCACGCTGTCTCCAAGGGTTCCAAGGCTGACACCATGTTCACATCCTCGTAGATGCATGTCTAGCAACTGTAGTTGGGTGCTGTTTATCAAGAATTAGTGTTGCTCTATGGAAATTGGTGGAATATTGTTTAGTTTGTAGTTGGATTGGTGATGTTGCCGCCTCATGTGACTGATCGATCTAAAACAACAATGATCGCGTGCATCTTTTGGCAAAACTTGGTTCTGTACTAGTTGTTCTGAGTGAGCTCTTTCATGTGAAGGTAGTTGATGTTATGTTGTCACCATATGATTTTGTTGTTGTAGACTTCAAGAAACATTCGTCAATTTGGCTGAAGAAACCAGTTTGGTTGTTTCATTCATTGGTCATTTCTTGAAATTCAGCTGCATCGAAGGGAGCTCAACCGAGGTGTTGTATACTGTTGCTCTTGCTATTTGGCACATGCTTCAGTTGTAGGTTGCTACAAAGACAAGTACCTAGTGCATCCGTGCAATGATCTTTGCGTCAGGTGCAGAACTTGCTGCATTGTTAAATGGTTTTGTTTAATTGCATGTTGTCGCTGAGCGTTCCCGTTGTGATGATAATTGACGTGGTTGCCAATGCTTCTTTGGCTCGTTCATGTTAATTGAATTTGTGCAGCTTTTGGCAAACTAGGATTTCAAATCAATGATATATTTCTACTACCGTGTTTATAGACTTCTGCCCTGATTTAGTAGAAACTATGTGGTTGTCATGATCTTTGTCTAATGTGTTTGCATTTACAGTAATGTAAATGTATGTTTCCAGATTCATAATCTGTCGACAGTAGGTAGGGTTGCGTGGCGATGCGAGGTAGTTTCTTATTCTGGTGGTAGTTAGAGTTGCTTATTCAGTACTAGCAACTCATATCAATCAATTGGTTAGGCTGAAGCAGATTGGTGTTATGGTGTTACTCTTAAATGTGTGCTAATCGCAATTGCTTGGTGGGAATGCTCTCTAGCTTGTGAATGTGTAGAAATCAATGATGTCTTGATTAACTTTTTGTGGAGCCAGTTCACAAAATTAAGTTATAGAGGTGTTGTTCATTTCTTATCGCCAGTTGTTTCCTCAACAACAACGAAGATCTGGACTACTTGCCTGCCTCCCTCCCTATTTATCGACTACAAGTTACGAGTCTGATTTTTGTGCACTTTTGGTGAAGCAAAGAGTCCTCTGGTTGTAGTTTCTTGGCGGTATCACGTAGATTGGTTCTTATTTATGGCATCATTTTTTATCTAGCTAACTAGCTAACTTGGTCCATTTCCATTGAACTGAATCTATGTAATGGACCTTGCTAACTTGTTCTCCCTGCATGGACCTTGCAGCCTCTTCCACGCTCCACCACCACCAACCTCCTTAACCCCGACCAAATAGCTAGCCTTTTTCCCGGTAAGATGTAACTTTCGGTTAATTCTCCGCGAGTGTTGGTGGAACAATGCAAGAGGGATGTTTGTTTCTATAGTACATATGAATGATTGTGTGTCATCTTACATGCTGCTGGTACGTTCTTATCTTAACAGAGACCCGCTACTTGGATCCTTGTTGGGGTGGACGAGTTGCCTCCATATTGGGATCTAGTTGTCACGCCTAACTTCGGTAATGTACACAAGCTTTTTGGCCTCTTTACCTTGTTTCTTAAGTCTTAAACCGAAGTATTGTATCCTACTTGATAGATCTTGTTATTCTGGATTTTGGTTATATGTTTATTGAATTGGTGTATAAAGAAATCTGCTAATGTAGAATAATTAGGATTCAACAAGAGTAAACCTGTTACTTCCCTTGCCAATGAATTGACCTCATGAAATGGATGTAGTTTGTAAATCTAGAAAATAATAAACACAAGGCACATCAAAAGGTCATATTGCTACCATCTGGAAACTGGCAATGGCTTCATTTATTATACAACTACAAAAATGTTGAATCTTGTTTTCTGAGATGCATATATTCACTATGCCTGCTCGAGTAGTTATTTTTGTTCTCAGCCGGACACATATATTCACCATACCTATCATCTCTCTTTGGTTCAAAAGCAAGCAAATTCATGGAACTTCTACTGTTAACAGTAGCAACATTACATTGTTTTCTTCAGTATCATCAGCCTTTTCTGGTCTCACTGAATCAGGTTGAGAAGTGGAGCAAGCAAAGGGATAATGGGACGTTTGCAGGGTCCCTCTAACTCATCTATTTGAGAGTCTCCTCGGTTGCTTTTGTGTCAGCGCCACTGCTGTCTTGTGGTTGGAATTTTATGCTTCTGTCACGTACTCTCTTCCAACAATTGCTGCAGAGAATCAAGTAATGCTTTTCTCAATGTTGCACAAATATTTCAGCATACTTAAACGTACGCATGTCTTTCCTGGGACCCGCGAATGCCAAATACCTATGAGATCCTGTTCTAAGTCATGCTAGTGTGAGAGGTTATGTTGATGTTACGTGACTGCACAATTATGTGATGATATATTCGATTCCAAGTCAAGCAAATTATGTAGTTGATGTGTAAAACTGTTGCAAGATTAGATTTTTAACTGTTTTACACCATTTTAATTCAATATGACAATCCCTTACTACCAATCAATGTTCTGTACGGAGGGGATGTGTGACACAATGTTCTGTACGAGGGGATGTGTGGCTGGAGGGAGATTTGTGGTTTTCAAAGGGATTGGATGAAAGAGGGGGAGTCACAATCCCCTCCTCCCAAAACCTTCGCAATCCCCTCTTGTCAAACAAAGGCCTAACTGAGAAGTGAGAGGCGCGGGAAATGAATCCGAGCCCGCGAAGCAAAAACGTTCGCTCGTCAATTTCCCCAGGCAATCGTGGGACCCATACTCCCGCTAAACCTGTCACAGCCCTCGCCCTGCCTCCTCGAGCTTTGGGCGTCATCTCCCCCCGCCTCAGCCGCCTGTGCCCCGCTTCCGCCCTCCCAAATCCCAGCCCAAATCCTCCCCGAAAAGAGCCGGAGTCGGCCGGCCTACCGTCGTCTCGGCACGCCGATGGGGATCCCCAACCTGCTCCGCTTCATGAAGCCGTTCATCGAGCCCGTGCACATCAAGAAGTACGCCGGCCAGCGGGTAAGCAGATCCCCCCAAAATCCCGCAGGTTCTGTTGCATCTTTGGTCTTCCGCGAATTCGTTCATTCGTTCTCCTCCTCCGCCGCCTTCGCAGGTCGGCATCGATGCCTACTCTTGGCTCCACAAGGGGGCCTACTCGTGCAGCATGGAGCTGTGCATGAGCCCCAAGAGCGCCGGCGCCAGGCGCTACATCAGCTACTTCATGCACCATGTCAACCTCCTGCGGCACCACAAGGTCGTGCCCGTCGTCGTCTTTGACGGGGGCAGCATGCCTTGCAAGTCGGCCACGGATGAAGACCGGCACAAGTACGCCCATTCGATTCGTCAATACTACTGTATTTGGTTAAGAAATGCAGTTCCTTTTCCGCCCTTCCTTATGCGCAGTTTCATCTATCGCCTTGTAACTTGGTGCGATGGTTTGAGATTAAATGATTTGTTACTACTCCCTCTGTACCGAAATACCTGTAGTTGGGGGAACTTGTACTAGTCTCCCCCAACTACAAGTATTTCAGTACGGAGGGAGTAGTATGTTAGGCAACTCACATTGGAAGTATGCATGTATACAGAGGATTCGGTCCTAGTCAGCATTGGGAGTCTCTTTTGGTAGCTGGCTTTCAGTCTTAATATTTGGACAGTACAATCTGCCATCCACGATTGTCATTTATGTTCCTTGAAGATTGTTTTTGTTGTCCAGAAAATAAATACAATATTGCCTTGATGCACAAATTTCTATGATGGATTTAAATGCAATGAAAATAAGGTTAACGTCCTGTTTCTGATACATACAATTTTCTAAGTCACCTGGTTACTAAAATTCAGGAAGAGGGAACTCAGTTTGGTGTTGGGGAAAGAAAAGCTTGAGCAAGGAAATACAGCTGCTGCAATCGACCTTTTCAGGGTAAGCATCTAATTATCCTTGCAGTATTTACCAGACCAAGAAAATTTTGAATACTTGATATATTCAGGCATTCAATGCATATGTTAGAAACAAACGTTTAAGAAAATGCAATGGTGTGGAAATACTTTTGTTGGAATCTAATAATATTAAGTGAGAAACATAATATCTTTATGTGTATTCCTTGTCCAAGATTTAAAATGTGATTTGATGTCAGCCAAATTATTGAACTTCTAATGACTTAGAATTCTGAGTCACAAATTTACTAATATAATTTCCAGGTAAAGTTAAAATATGTGTACATATATATATATGTGCTCAATATATTTTGAAATTAACTGCAAGCTGTCGGCTGTCAAGCAATGAGAGTTTCAGGGGTGGGGTGGGGGGTCAGTAACTTGTTACTGTGGAAAATTATTAAATCAATAAAACACTCTTTACAACAAAAGGACAAACACAAAATGCACAACTACTATTAACAATTTAACATGCACTTGAACTTTGATGTTTCCTTTTTTTTCCTTTTTCCAATGCATTTTCTATTACTAGCTGTGTCATTCTGGTCCGCAAGAGAAAAAACAAGATTTTCCATTCATCACGTTGACCTAATTAGATTGAAGTACAAATGTGGAATTATGCTTGTCCGTTAACTCATATGTTCAGGTTTGTTAGGAGATCCTTACAAATTTACAAATGGACGCTTCAGTTATTATCTTAAAATTCACCATTCCAGCTTATGGCCTCATCATTCTCTAAGTATCCTCCTTTCAACCCGGACCGTTCGCACTGTGTTTAACATTATAAAATATCAGCACAAAGTTCCTTTGAGCAGCCGATGACTTGTTTTTCTACCGCTTTAAAGGAAATATGGTTTGATGTTTCTAAATTTCGGTGCAGTTTTGATTATGTTTGTTAAAGCATCCTAATCTCATTCATCTGCAGAAAGCTGTGCAAATTACTCCATCGATGGCTTATCAACTGATTCAGGTGCTTCTTTGAAAGCTCTTCCATGTAACAATTCCTTGCCTTATGTAGCAAAATCTAATCTTTGTAAACCCAGATTTTAAAGACAGAAAAGGTTGAGTTCGTGGTTGCTCCATACGAAGCAGATGCACAGTTGGCATATCTAGCTACTCTAGATGCTGATCAAGGGGGCATAGCTGCTGTTATAACAGAAGACAGTGACTTAATAGCATATGGTTGCACTGCTGTGAGATATTCACTTTGGTCTTCATTTTTTGTTCTTGATTCCTTTATTTTATCTAATGCATTTTAAGTTGTAGATTATATTTAAGATGGATCGCTTCGGAAATGGTGAAGAATTCATAATGGAGAAAATCTTGGAGACTGTAAAAGATGGTCTTTGCTTCCAGGATTTTGATCAAAACCTTTTTACTGGTAAACACCATTTCTGCATCTTGAAGACTTGAACTAGAGCACTATGGCGTGACTGATTGGTTCACCTGTTAAAGAAGCATTTATTTTTCTTGCTTCTGTTCATAGCATGCAGTTGTTAGTTTAATTTGCTCTGTAGGATAGGGGTATGCTGTCATCTTAGATCAATCCAGCTCTTGTGCAATTAGGCCTTCCTTTTTGCGATATCTTCTCAGTTCTCACCCTGTATGCAGTGCACCCCCAACTTTTTGTTTTCTATTGACGTTTTCAACTTTTATCTGGACAGGCATGTGTATCCTTGCAGGATGTGACTTTCTTCCCTCGGTGCCTGGCATTGGTACTAAAAGGGCATATTCTCTCATCTCAAAACATAAAAATATTGACCTTGTAAGAAACTAAGAATAACTACTTTACTGATTCCCTGCTATTTGTAAATCTCAAAGCATATTCTCAACATTGTTTAATCTGCAGTGATTAATGTTGTGTCATCCAGATATTTCAAAAAATCATTCATTCTCATGAAGAAACATGCCCCCTAGCATCTCTAATATAATTATTGGCAGGTGCTATCAACCTTGAAGCTTGACAAGCGGTATTCTGTGCCGGATGATTACATTGATTCCTTCTGGAAAACTCTGGCAGTATTCAATCATGCTAGAGTGTAAGATTGTGTTTGTGTTAGTTATGTGTATCTTGTACTCCGTATGTATTTCACAAAGACATTGTGCTGTACAAAATCTGATAAGTCACTTTCCTTCAAATGTCCCAGATATGACGTCAAAAGCAAGTCACTGAAACATTTAAAACCTTTGGAGGAACGATATCTTAACTACTTGGCGGGAGACCTGGATATTCTTGGACCGTATCCTTAAAGAGTTCTCTTTTATTCATGAGCTGCAGTGTGTGACATCTGTATGCGGTAATTTAATGGACGACTGCTTTTCAGACAATAACAGCACCAATATGGAACACGATTTTGATACTCAATTTTTGATACATCCATTTGCTGGTACCTTAAACAGCCGAGGAAGGAAAAATATTCATAGCTTCTTAGACAGGATCACAGGTCACAAGTTACCACTGAAGTGAATGCACAATTTCACAAGATATCCATTTGCTGGTAATAGGCAACCTGATATTAACACAGTTTTAATATTGTTTCATAGAACTATTTTATATTTCCTTATCTTATCAGTGCCCATTCCTTGATCTTCTAAAGAGCGCTAGCCCCATCAATGGCAAAAGCGATAGCAGAGGGGCGCTTGAATCCTGTTACAATGGAGACCTTTGACGAATTCTCCAGAACCATTAGCCCCATCGAGCTTATTGATACCTCTGCTCTCAATGTTGCTAATCAGCATGGTTCTCAGGAAATTTTGACACAAGAGAGCTCTATTACAATCTGTTCATCTGAGGAAAGCAGAGATGACAGCATAGGCAAGTGTTGTCTTTTACTGTCTAAAAAGTATATGAAGTTAAACCATCGTTAAACTATGCATTATTTACCTTGTTACCAAGGGTTTTATAAGACTTCTTTCTTTTTAATTAAAAGAGTGGCATTTGTACCCTTTGCTCTTTACTGTGATGAAACACCTTTATTCCAGGACTTCTCATAACCATTTCTCGTTTTCTTGAACAGCATTTGCTGCTGATGAGATTACTAGTGGTGAACAGAGGTGCAACAAAGGAGTCCTTGCCCTTGGCAAGTTTCTACCACAGAAGCATTCCTCTCCGGCAGTGGAATGCAAAGAAGTGAAGCCTAAGAACACCCCTGACAACAACCCATTCAAGAAGAGGAAATTACCCACTGACCAAGGTAAAGTACCAGATCAAAACGAGTTGCTAATCGATCTGGATGAAGAAGCAGTTGTATTGTGCTCATCATTGTCACGAGAGAGTGTTGGTCCAGCAGAATCTCTTGATAGAAATGGAGTGTCAGCTGGATTGTGTTGGCCATTGACACAAGAAAGTGTGGCGTCTATTCCGAATGAGAGATCATCTAAGAGGCAAAGTCAGCAGGAAGCTTTCAGGAATAAAACCAACAAAAATAAAGATGAAAGGAGTGGACTTTTGAAATTTTTCATGCGTTTGTAATTCTGTCATGTTTTCCATTTCATTTTGTTTTCAGTTTTCCAATTCCATTCGTTAAGAAATTAATCAATACATTGCAGTATGGAAAAGTTATTTCATATCTATGTATGAGTTTTTCTCAAAATGGAATCAGATATGATTTTATTTCAAATAGAAATTCATTGCATACAGTTCTGATCTACCTGCAACAAGCCATAGGTAGTCTTTTTTTTTTGATGTAGACACATATACATTCACCTCTATAAACACACACACATCTTCCCATACCATGCAAAAAAAAAAACACATCTTCCCATGAACATTTTTAAGATACTAAGTCGACATAATATTTTGAGATTGACCAAGTCACCATATACATCTTTGTAGTCCATGGAAATGTTTCCTCCTATGAATGAATATCGCTGGAATGACTAAAATAAATCTAGAAAAATACGAACGCCAATGCTAAAATTTGGAACTTGAATTCGGGCTGGTTCCACGATAACAAACCTAACCAACTGAGTTTGCAGGTCATGTAAAAAAAAAAACTGAGTTTGCAGGTAGTCGGTATCCGAAACTCGCGTTCCTCCCGAACCACATGAAAGAAACTGACCTCACTGCTCGTTGCCGCGGTGCCGCCGCGTTCACCGCACGCACTCATTCGGCCGTCCCGCTCGCGCACCGACACCGGGTTCCCTTGGGAACGGCGGCGACGAGGAGGTCCGGCCCTTGGCGCGACCGGCGGCCCTCCCCCACCCCCCACGCGACGGCATCGTACGGGGATGACTGGTGAGTATTCCTCAGAGCCCAATGAGAATGAGGGGCCCAACTTGCATAGTTAATAGTAAAATTTTAGACATATCTGAATGTTTATGGCTGTGTTGAAAGCATGGAATGATTTTCTCCCAATCTCTTTTGTTCTTTGCTGCATCTGCTGCAGAATGGTGCATAAATGATAAATCATGTTTTCTTCTCACACTTCTATGAATTATAGGCATCATAATCTGCGGCATTCCCCATCTCCCTACCTTGCAAATGGGCCCAAAAGTTTCTACCCTAGTCTTCCCCCTTTGTACCTTTAGTAATCTGCGGTTTTCAACCTCACTGTTTTACTGCACCATTTCTTTTATACTAGTTCACTTTCACTCTGCTGCTTTCGGTGGCTAAACCTTTTGTTATTTTTTATGGCAATGCTGAATTTGGCTCATTGTGACTTACAGGCAACAGGCTAATGTCTTCTTCAGGGCATTGGTAATTTTTGAATCCTTCAGGAAGTTAGACAATTCCTTCGAAATACAGGCTGGAAAACCTGAGCTCTGCCAATGCAATTTTAATATTCAGTTGTGCTTCTGCACTGCTGCACATAAGCATATGACGCTCCTTTTCTTCTCTGTTGGGTTGATGTGGACTGGGAATCCATGCAGGTTTGGAATGTTCTGGGAGTTTTGTTCTGGTCAATCTAATCAAAATATTGCTTTCTGGGTGGATGCTCCAATATATCCAGATTGTTGGGTCTTTGTTTGCTTCCTGGTGGAGTACCAACATCAGTTAATTTCCGAATCCGACACTAAAATTTGGGGAATCAGTTACTCATCCATCATTGGTTTGTTTCCTGCATGATACGATTCCTTCTACTTGCAATAGACGTGTTACTGAACTTCATCCCATATATTTTGTTTTCACTCAAATTTACAAATGGAGTGCTCCACTCAGTTTACTGTCGGCTCCGCTCTGCTGATAGGAACAAGCTTACCTTCACTGGAGGTACTGCATATATTTGACCCGAAACATGAGTCAAATATATGCAGTACCTCCAGCGAAGACTCATGCAAACCCACTAGGGCAGAAGTCTATTAGAAGTCTATGAGTGGTTGATGACCTTTAAAGTTTGAACAGAATGATGCTCCAAACAAGGCCAAATCCCAAGTATCTTAGTACCTGCAACAAGAAAGGCCATGAAATGGAATCAAAGGCCTTTGAGATATCCAACTTGAGGAGAACTCTCTGCTCTTTTTGCCAATGGAGCAATTTGGCTATTTGTTGGACACCAAATTTTTCATGAATGCACATTCCTTTGACATAAGCACTTTGATTGGGAGACACCAAATCCTTGAGCTTCCTAGCCAGCCTATTGGCTAGCATTTTGGTGATAAGCTTGGAAAAGCTATGGACTAGGCTTATAGGGTGAAAGTCTTTGATTTCCATGGCATCTGGAGATTTTGGTAGCAGGGTGATATAGGCTGAATCCAGAAGGAATAATCTGCTCACATCTCCCTGCAGAACTCGCCATTGATGGATTTTTCATGATTTGGTTGCAATACTTTTTGGACTTGGTATGTTCTCCATCACCATTACATCACCTCATTATCCTCTGTTGTGATTAGACCCGTCCGGAAATTAATTTTGGAACTTAGCTTGTTCATGAGGGATGATATGTGCTCTGTCTTCTCCTAAGTGGTTCGATTTCTTGCATTTCTATTCTTTTAATGTTTAACTATAGCCCCACTTTGGGACCTTGCATGTTTGATTATGATTGTTCTTTTCTTGCAAATACTAGAATACATATATATTAAACAAGTCCAAGCTTTACAAGAACACCCTTGACAAAGAAATTTATAAACATGCCCAAGGGGAGTTCATCACCATCTTTGACCTGCACAATCCAACAGCGTGTCGTGGGCGTAGCTTGATCCGCGCATGCCCTCTGTCGCCGAAACCAGAGAGTCGTTGTAACTTTCCCTAGGAAATCATCATATATTGCCAGGAGATGCCAATGGTGATGTTCCAAAGCACGGATCGTCATCCTAGAGAAGAAGGCGGAGACATGATGAGAGAACCAACCCCACATCACGCTGGAAGTGTCATCTAAAGATCTTATTGACATGACCATTGGCGTCACAGCGAGCCGAGGCGGAAGCATCGAGGTTGATGACTCCTCCCTCCCCCTCCACCCCATTATCTGCTGGAATTGATCTGGGAAACCAATCCTCACGTGCCCCGAGGTGGCACCAAAGCCAGCAATGGACTTGTTCCATTGCGCTGTCGCCTCCACTGTTTTGATGGACGACATAAGGACACCAAACCTAATAACCTAAACCAAGGCTTCCCATGAGGGCGCAATCCATGGTCTTTCGTGACTCTCGGTGCCGAAATTGGCCGCCAGAGGTGAGGGAGACCGATGGAATCAGACAGCGAGGATGAGTGGTGACTAGGGATACATTAGACGGATCAGATGTCAGAGTAAGAAGACGCCATTGCTGCCTCGACAAGGAAAAGTCTTAAAGAGTCACGCTCACATGGCAATTAGAAAAAAATGGAAGTGTTTCTATTTCTGAAACTGGAATATTTCTTCGGTTCGGCACTCAGTTTAAGGCTGCAATAAACAAACCCAAATGGTAAGTGTCACACGTGTGGCACGAAGTAACACCGCCCTGACGTTTTTACAACTAATATTGCCATCAGAAAAAAACGAGACCCTCAAAAAACCGAAACTTGCCAGCCAAACAGAAAGTTGCCATGCTTCACAACTAAAGTTGCCATCCCTGGGTAACTAAAGTTGCCATCAAAAAATGTCAGGGTGGAATTGCTTCCTGCCACATGTGTGGCACTTATATTTAGACTCTTGGTCTGTTTCTTGTTAATTCCATGGAAAGAGCAGCATTGCAGTGATACAAATTAATGCCTCACATCATTACAGATAATTTATAAAAGACATTCCATTTGATAGTCTAAATCATACATTAAAATTGGTTCGACCAAACATAACACAACCTTGTTTCCGATCCCAAAAGACAACCACCGAGTAAAAGTTAAATGTGATGTAAAACTGAACTCCATGACTGCAGTACAGGCAGATGCCATGCCATCTGCTAATCGAAATCATACATAGAAACTGGTTCTGCCTAACATATAGGATAACCTTATTTATGATCCCAAAAGATAACAGATAAAACTAAACTCCTTCTGACTAGCACAATTTCACACACAGAATGTGCAAGAATCAGCAGGTAGAGGAGCATCTCTCTGGAAGTTAGGGGCTAACGACCTAACTACAGCTCTCTACCCAAGATATTAACATCGTTGATTAATAAATCCTGCAGTCAGAAAATAAGTTTAGTTAGATGCAACCTTATCTAACTCCGTACTGCTAGTACATTATATATGTGCAAAGCCTGAAAAACTTAGAGACAAGATAGTAAATGCCAAAACGAAAGCAGGCTCGGTAAAAAATGGGCAGGCATCATGCAGCAAAAGAATGAAAAGGCTTCTTACTTCATTAAACATGTTCATGGTAGAAATGTCATCCCTCGAAAAACCATCATTAACAGCTTCCCAGAAATCATCACTGTCGATATTCAGTTGACCATCATCAGCTTCCTGATTAGCTGTGCCTTGTGATTGCGCAGAGAGGATGCCACCTGCACCACCATCATTCAACATCTGAGTTGACGTGACAGAAATACCCATCTGAGGGTCAGGCATTGCAGCACCGATGCTTGAAGCACTACCAAGTGCGAAGTTACCATTCAGCATCTCCACTGAGCTTGTGTTGTTGTTGATTGCGAAGTTACCATTCGACATCTCCATCGAGCTTGTGTTGTTGTTGATTGCAAAGTTACCATTCGACATCTCCACCGAGCTCATGATGTTGTTGATTGCGAAGTTACCATTCGGCATCTCCCCCGAGCTCATGTTGTTGTTGATTAAGAAGTTACCATTCGGCATCTTCACCGAGCTCATGTTGATTGCCAAATGACCGTTCAGCATCTCCACCGAGCTTATGTTGTTGTTGATTGATAAATCCTGCAGTCAGAAAACAAGTTTAGTTAGATGCAACCTTATCTAACTCCGTACTGCTAGTACATTTGCATATGTGCAAAGCCTGAAAAACTTAGAGACAAGATAGTAAATGCCAAAACGAAAGCAGGCTGGGTAAAAATGGGCAGGCATCATGCAGGAAAAGAAAGGGAAAGCTTCTTACCTCATTAAGCATGTTGATCGTGGTAAGAATGTCATCCATTGAAAAACTATCAACAACAGCTTCCAAGAAATCATCACTGTCGATATTCAGTTGACCATCAACAGCTTCCTGATCAGCTGTGCCTTGTGCTTGCGCAGGGAGAACGCCGCCTGCACCACCATCATTCAGCATCTGAGTTGGCGCGGCAGAAATGCCCATCTGAAGGTCAGGCATTGCAGCACGGATGCTTGAAGCGCTACCAAGTGCGAAGTCACCATTCGGCATCTCCACCAAGCTTGTGCCGCCATCCATTGCGAGGTAACCATTCAGCATCTCTACCCAGCCTGTGTTGTCGTTGATTGCGAGGTCACCATTCAACATCTCTACCGAGCTTGTGTTGCCGTCGATTGCGAAGTCACCATTCAACACCTGTACTGAGCTTGTGCTGTTGTTGATGGCTACACCGGCGTCGAACGACGACGCCATCTCCTCACCGGAACCTGCCATCGATGTTGTGCCGTTTACGAAAGCTGCTATTTGGTTCTTCAGGTTGTCGAGACTCATCGGTGTTTGGCCAGCTATCCGGCCAGCTGGTGAGGCTGCAAGGCCTGTGAGCTGGTTGATGTTGGGGATGTTCCAATAGTCACGGCTAAGATCAGGATACTTCACAGCTGCTTGCCAGGAGTTGCCTAGGCGGTTCCCGGCGTCTCCATACGGACTCCTCTGAACCGGAGGCTGGAACCCCAGTAGGCGAGATGGCCGCACTGAAAACTGATTCACCGGCAAAGAGGTCCCACCATTGTGTCTATTTCCGTCCGCAAGGGAGCTGCCACTACCCTGAAAGCCTCTGTTTGCCCCCAGTAGATTGCCACGCAGCATGCCCATGTAGGATGACTCGCCGCGGGAATGGCTGGAACCAAATTCGTCCCACGCCCCTGTGCCATTTGTCCTGTTTGCATATGCGCTGGAGGAAGAGGGCCGCTGTCTCGAACCCGGCAGCAGCCACGACAACCAAGGCCTGAAGAGCATGCTGCCACCATGGACACCGGCACCACGCGCTCTGAACGCGGACGGATGATCCATCCTTGTGGGGAGACTGGCAAGGTTCCAAGAGGCAGGGTTTGTGGACGGCCGATATATCCCATGTCCATGGAAATACTTGATACCTTCTCCCCAGCTTTCAGCAACAAGCAAATTGCGCCTCTCGTCTGCCCCGTCCTCGGTCCTTGCGAGATGCATCCTGTACTTCTGAAATCAAAAGATAGGCGATCACATAGATGAGAGGCGCATCATGGATATTTTTACATTTTGTTTTTGATTGTTCTAAAGACGTATATATGGAGAACAAATCAAAGGAACTGAAGTGCTGCATGGCTCCTAAAACTCTAGAAATCATAGGCATGCATTATATCCGACGTGTCACATTTTCACAGAAGAATAATTACAAGGTAACTAAGACAAAAGAAAAGGAAACAAGCCTATCCAGTTCCAGTTTTTGGGCAGCACTATGAGATATGAACACAACCCAGCAACATGGCAAATATGACATAGTACGAGATAGGAATTCAATGCATACAAAAGTCAGGTATAATTAAGGTGGTGGATGTGTTTCTGTATTTTGTATCAGCTTGATGCATCAATATACTGCCTATCATTTATAAAAAAAGTATACACGAGGGGTAGAAAGTAAACCTGCAGATGACTCCCAACACTCTCTCTGGAGACGTTATCCACATTCATGGCGGCCAGTATCTTCGATGGAACAGCCCCTGCATATATACATTCGCATAACCAAAAAGTTTTTTATACCAGAGACAATAATGCCAAGATCACATGCTTCGTTTTGGTTAATATACTAAGCCACGAGAAGTGTGATCGAGTAAGTTCTCTTACTCTTGATGCCGATCTGACTGACAGCCTCCACAAACTTGTCATGCAGATCATTTCTCCATGTCGTCCTCGGCTTCTTCCAGGTCGATGGGTTTGGTGACAAGTTCTCCTTGTTCGCATCATGGCCATCTTCATCATGTTCATGACTCTTCGTCCATCCACGTTTGGTGCTCTTTGCACCGTCCTGCTCGCCGGCGCCGGGTCCTCCTGTAGGCTGCGCCTTCTCAGCGGCAGCATTACGGATGCTGCTGCTGAGGCTCCATGGTTCAGGGGTTCTCCTCGCCATGACATGCCCCCACATGATATCGAGGTGCTTGGTTTGCACTGGTTTCACCAGGTACTCGCACGCCCCATAAGCTATGCCTTTCTTCATAGCCTCGGGCCTCTCGTCCGCTGATAACACTGCACACATCATATCATATCATCAGTGGCTCAGTTTGGCAACGCAGGATTAAAAAAAACACTAGTGCACCACTGAATGTCGATCCCTGTGGATTAAGGTCAGAAAAAAAAAGTGTTCATTTGATGAACTCTTGTCTTTTCCATATATAGACGAGGAAACTGTAAGCAGACATGTTATACATGTTGAACAAACATCAAACGTGCCAAATAAACTCTGCAATGTTCTATTCTGTTCGGAACTGGAAGTGGAAATCACGGAGGAATGAAGCTCGTATCAAAGACATTAACGGCTAAGAGCAGCCGGACTTTGCAAATCCAATCTCTCAAACGCCGGCGGATGCGCCCGGGCGCGTCCACGGATACTGATCGGTCAAGCCTCAAATTTGCCTTGTCACAACCGGACACCTCAATTATCATATCTCAAATCCATAAACTCATGCAACTACGCTTAATCTGATCCCTGTGGAGTATGATTTGATTTGATTTAGGTATGGGTTGGAAAATGCAAGATTTTCTTTATTTAGTTGAGATTTTGATAAGTTTTGATTTGATTGAATTAATGCATGACGTGGGGGAGGGTGGCGTACAAGAGGAAAAAAACAAACTAGAGAGGGGCAGAGGTGGAGGCAAACATACAACAACCAACTCTCCTTTAATAGCAGTGATGAAAATCATTGAGGAGATCGTATTACCTTGCCTCAAACCCATGACATGCTGAATGACAGGTTTCAGGAGCAATCAAAGAGTATGCGCGTGGTGGTAGAAGACAATAAAGTTTTGATCTAGGAGTGACATACCACTGGGGTCCAAAATCATACGCCGAAGAATCTCGAGCAAGGACCAAGCGACCGTATCAAACATCCAAGCCATATGGCCCCTTTCGAGTCTAATTGTCCCGAGGTCATTCAAGTTGCTTATAAGATTAGGCCAGTTTCATTTTCTCATTGCCCAAGGGATCAAACAAGGTGGCACACACTTTAACTAGAAGTTTCTATGATTTAAATTTTGTATTTTCTGGGATGGCGATGCTTCAAATTTTCTTCTAGCTAAACTGGTTCGTGATGTAGTAGCTGTCATTTGAGTTTAATAAAGTGTGCCACACCTTCCACAAAAAAAGCGACTGTATCAAGTGCCTTGGAGATGGCGACCTTGAGCAAGGTAGCAACTTCTCTTTTGAAGCATCCGAGCGGTCTGGCGAACGAGGAGGAAATTATCGTGCGTTGTTCGCTTCTTCAAAAGGCACCCTGAATGTGCGATACCAGATCGGAGTGAAAGTACCTTGGAGATGATCTTCACAAAGTTATCAACTAGTATTTGAAGTTACTAAAGAACGTGTTTGGTTCAACCCCCTTTTTTGTTAAGTTATCTTATTACAATGTTACCTGATTACCTTAAACTTGTTTGTTTGTAAAAGTTATCAACTAGCATTTGAAGTTACTAAAGGACATCTTTGGTTCAACCCTTTTCTATAGGTATCTGATTACCTTAAACTTGTTTGATTGTATAATTGTATGCTTGACTCGATCCCTACTAGTTTGTTAGTTCTCTAATGACTACTGACTTGGCCCCTAATCTAGTTGCCCATGACTCCCCAATCTCCAACGCGAGATGCATATAGTTGTGCACGACAGAGTTTGTCTATGTATTATCCACGAGTATATGTACGGTATATACCCAGAAAAGGTCAACTCAATGTGTGTTGGATCCTATTCAGTCTCTAGATTTCTGTCGTATTTAGTTGCTCTTCTCTAGAAAAAGATATACAGAGAACCACCTCTTGGTGTGGTTGTGGAGCTACGGGAGCAGGAATCCATCCCTAGGGTTTAAATCATGACGCTCACATTTATACTGTTTGGTTCTCCTTCGATACTGCTCACCCACCCGATGTGCGTCCTCAACCAGGACTTTGGGCAGGTTGCGTCCAATTTCCTCCTCATCGAGCCAACTAGCTCCTAGGCCTACCTCTTCGTACCATGATTGTGGTCGCCAGAGGAAGCATGACTGCACCAACAACACACCCTAGACAGTGGTACACGTACTCCGAGGGCTGTCATTGGTTTATATACACCGGTGCCGGAGCATGCTCGTCTTTGGTGTCAATGGCACCGCTCGTATTTGGCACCCAAGAGCTGATGCTCTTCATCGGATTTTGCAACAATTCCCTCTTTCTTGTAATAAATCTGAGTATCATACTTGTCATGGCTGCCACGTAGGTAAACACGCTCGCTTGCCTTTTAGTTCTTCTTCCCCCACCGCTGCTTTTCCCTTTGAAATAATGCATTGTGATGTATGGACAGTCTCTGATCCTTAACAACTCTTATTTTCGGTAGTACTTCCTGCACTCACTTCATTTTATGCCTATGTAGTCATGCATTTATCTCATTTCGTGCTTTATCTCCAAACTGACAACGACAAAGAATTCAATAATGTAGGTGTCTGCATCCTCCTCTCCTCCCACATGACGACCCTTCGTCTCACCCGCCCCTACACCTCGAAGGATAATGGACATGTCAAGCACATGCTTTGCATATTCAACGATAGCATATGCACCTTCATGTACCACTCCGACACCCCTCCTCGATTCCAGCCCAATCCGCTCTCTATAGTTACTCTCCTCCCCACCTTTTCCCATGAAACCCATGGTGGATTTACACCCCTAACCACCATTTTTTGCCACCATTTTGTAATAGTATATGCATCTTTGGTTGTCTCTACGACCCCACTTCAGCCACCACCGCACCCCGCCAGGTAGCCTGCATTTTTCTTGGCTATCATCCTAATTCGACAGGGTTTTGATGCTACGATCATGTGGTGCAACACATGATAGTGTCTCGATATATGTACTTTGACGGGCATTCTTTCCCATTTTCATGAAATTCATGCTCCATCAAATACATTGACACCGACATTCGTACCTCCGTGTCAATGTCCCACGCTGGCTCATATAGACCGAGCCCCATGCCCACACAACCCCTGTTGACATGTCCCGGCCACGTACTGCCATGTCACACATTTCTGCTACCAGATGCTGCCTGAAATGGATCCCATGGCACCAGGTGCTGCCATGGAAGCCCATGTCACCCCGACATGCTGCCGCGACACACATTTCTACCATTGATATACCTGAAGAGGATATCATGCCACCTATTTTCTTACATGACGACCCTTATATTACCATGCCCGCCTCTGTTGTAATGACTATAATTACTGCCTTGACACCTGTTTTCGCACCCAATACCACTGAAATGGCTACCATGGCACCCCATGCTACCGAACATTTCCTAGTTGTGCCCCCAAACATTGAGACCATTCTCGTGTCACTCTGTCACCGACAGCAAGGTCCATGCTACCCTCACACCCCATGGTCAATCGGGCATAACGCATGTCTTCTAGTCTAGCACCCGGTACGATTTGACTGCGCTCTCACCATCACTGTCGCATCTCCACTGCAGCGCTCCACTCCTACTACTCTTTGGATCCCAATTGGCGAGAAACAATGCATGCTAACATTTTGGATTGACTGTGGGTTCACCCAACATTTTGGCATCGACTTCTTTGAGGCCTTTTCTCCCATTGTCAAGAGACCACCATTCACATCATTCTCCAAATTGTTGCATCTCGTTGACGGGTGTTGCATCAACTCAAGATCAACAATTGGTTCTTTCATGGAGCCTGTAAAACATGTTCTCTATTAGCATTCCATCGGCTTTGCCAATGCTCATTGTCCAACCAACACATGCCTTCTTGCCATGTCCCTATATTGGCTCAAATTTTGGTATCACCTCCCACCACCGAAACACTGTCTACTAAATGGGATGGAATGTTTTTTTGGAAGGGTACTACTAGAGCGTTTTGGTACTAAAATAGAAGTGTGCGTGCACTAACTCATACGTGCGGGGCGTTCATAGATGCAATCTAAATTTATGTGTTATGCATCCAAAGGTACATCTACTTAGGTGGAGCCGGTATGCAAACACTTGGTTGTGCATACCCAATGTTGACGCATGAAACATGGCCACCCAAACCATTTGACGCCCACAAAGTATATGCCAACTTGTGCAGGCAAAACTCGGTCGAGGACTCTTGTTCATACCCATTTAAGGTAGAAAATGGAAGATTAGATTAGGGAAAAGGCTTTACCGATGGCCGGCAAATCCATCTTGAGGTTGATGAGATTGAGAAGCTTGAAGCTATCCATGTCCGATAGGTACACATCGCTGACCACCAGATCGAAATTGTCCCTCCCCTCCCTAAGCATCTGGAGGGCCGTCATCGCGTCCCTCATGATTGTCGCTGCCACGCATAAGAACCAAAACCAAGAAACACCAGCATATTGGTCCCAATAGATTTAACCATGCGACTTGGATCTAGATGGATTAGGTGGTTAGGAACACTCACGACGGTAGTTGCGCATGCGCAGGAGAATTTCCAGGACCTTGAGACTGACAGGATCATTGTCAATAGCGAGCACACGCAACCCCAGTGGGAACTCGCTCACAATCGCCTCCTTTCCATGCCTTTCCTCACGCATATCCATCTCTTCTTCTCCCCTTTGATAAACTAACCACAATTTGCTAACCAACATCAATAAACAACCAAAACATGACAAAAACCCTACAGAAATCCAAGAATAGCAAGAAACAGGCTTAGGAATTCACACCTTGTGCAAAGGATCCCTGGACGGCGTGCTAGGCGTAGAATAAATTGGAAGTTGCAAGAACTCCAGAGTAGCAACAAGGACTCGAGGATGGACAGAGGATCTTATAGATTGGCCGAAATTAATGGGTGCCAAATATAGGAAGTGCTATTCGCATGTAAATTTTTTGTACTCCTTAATTTCACTATTTCAGTTTCCATCTCATCGCCAAAATGATGCCGGGCTGACCTCTCTTTGTGTTTTGTTGTGTTGTGTGGTTCACGGGAACCACCTTTTCCTTTCTATTTTACCCTAGCAAATCTTGGAGGATAGGTATGATTTGAATCCTTGTGATGTGTCTGATTGTTGTTTAGGCG